TGTGTCTGTAAAATGTTGTGCCCTAAATGAGACCTGTGTATCACACTTTCTGCCCCAAAGGCTCAGGGAAGGGAATGTCACAGAATAGTGAGCAGAAAGAGAAGAAAAGACAGTGGTTAAGGAGGACCAGAGCAAAACAATTTCTTCTGGACATGGCTGGACTGTTGTACTCATTTACTCCAGTAGCTATGACTGTTTGCACACCTGTGCAAGATCAAGTCAGTCGATATCCCAGCACAATGAAGGGAGTGCTCATAAGCCCACCCCTAAGATGAGGAGCTTTGGACAGTTGGGTGGAGGAATGGAAGAGGGATCCAGGGGAGTTGGAAGGGGATTCCCAGGAGATGATCAAAAAATATTGTATACATGTATGAGATTCTCAAAGAATAAACTAAAAGTTAAAAAACAAAACTTTGCCATAAAGCCATAGAAGAAAATTCTAGCTAAAATTGTCAATTATTAGAATTTCCCTGGCCTTTTGATACACACATTAGAACCACAGAATTTTGGGTGTGTGTGTGTGTGTGTGTGTGTGTGTGTGTGTGTGTGTGTGTGTGTGTGTGTGTGTGTACTTTCAAACTAGGATTAATACCAGTTAAAACTTAACTAGTATTGTTGTGCACATGAATTCAGAGGCCACAGCAGAATGTCAGGTATCTTCTCCAGTCCTTCTCAGCCCTTTTGCCTTGAGACAGGGTCTCTCACTAAACCAGAAACTTACCACTTTCACTGGAAGGGCTACTCAACAAAGTCTCAGGATCCACCCAGCTCTGCCCCACCTTCCAAGTTATGGGAACAGCCTAGAGATTCAAACTCCTGTCTTCATACTTTGTAGCATAAGTATTCTTACTCACTGAGACATCTCTCCCAGCCATCTGATGGCTTTAGTTGGCCTTCATGTCTAAATTACCGTTGTTTATTAATGACACTTATATGAACTGTCCCTACTCAAAACAGAAATTATGTTTTAACATGAACATTTAAATAGTTCATCTTGATGGGAATATCACCAGGATTATTTAGCTGGAGGACAGAAAATGATAGCATGGAGAAAGATTAAGGGACTAAAAAGGTGCAGTTCACAGAAGCACATAGAGAAGGAGACACAGGACTGGGCAGTTGGCTCAGTTGATAGAGTGTTTGCTTCCGAAGCATAAGGACCTGAATTCAATACTCAGGAACAATGCATTTTTAAAAAACACTGGACTTGGTAGTGTGGTGACACGTAGTAGTGTAATCCCCTTTCTGGGAAAAGTAAGACTAATGGATCCCTGGTGTTTGTTAGCCAGTGAGACAGGGGAGAGGAGGAGAGGAGAAGGGAGAGGAAGGGAGGGGAGAAGAGGGAGGGGAGGAGTAGGAGGGGGTACCTGTGCCTGAGGAATAACACCCAACACTTCTCCACATAAGCATACACCTACACACGTACCTGAGTATACCTGTATACACGGACAGACATGGCACACACATATAAAATATCAGAGAGGGAGAGAAAGAGACAAAAAGAGATACAGACATGAAAAGAGATCCAGAAAGCAAAAGGATAAAGCAGCCAGGCAGCAACAACCATGGTGAATGACACCGGCCTGCTCTTGAGGTGTCTCTGATCTTTACAGCCCTGCAAACAGTTTTAACTCTGTGATGGTGACAATGTAGGTTTTATACTTGGTAATAAGTCTGACACTCAAGGCAAGTTACCTGTTATCCTATGAAAGTGCTACTATTATGTCATTTTGTAGGTAACAGAATTGAGACAGAGACTAAGATCAGTAATTACTAGGGACATAAAGGATGAAAGCAGGATTTGAACCTAGGAATCTGACACCAAGGCCCTACCTAGCTCTTAACCACCTATCTTGGCTAGACTGTGGCATTTACTCATCACCTCTTGCAGCCTCTCTCCTGAGACCCTGTCACCTAAGAAGCACTCTATGGGTCATCTTACTAGTAACAGCTGCCAGACAGTTGCTTACAAAAACTGAAGCCCCCTCTGGAGGCTGGAAGCAGGGGTACCAAATGCAACACTGATGGGTATGCTGAGCTTTAGAAAGGAGGAAGGTTTCAAAGGCTGAGAAGATGAGCAACCCGTGCTAAGTTCACTAGATAATATTCTTGAGTGATAACAAAAGGAGGAAAGAAAGACAAAAGGAAGAAGGCAGTGGCTACTAAAAGACACCACCTTTGGTTCAGATTGGTAGCTGCATCTAGAATTGGACAGCAGGTGTAGACTGGATCCCTGCAATGGATGTGGGCACAGTTTTGGAGAAATCGAGTTCATGGGAAATTACATAGGAGAGAAAATGAGTGGTCTGCACCAAGACTATGTCCCCAATGTTAATTATCCCAAGCGGTTAAATGCCCCACCTCCCTCTTCTGATTAGCCATGTTTGGGTTAATTGTTTATGGCCTTTTTCATTCTTCCATTCTCTGTGAATTATAATTCTCTCCTCCCCAACCCTTTTCTTTCCTCCCCCTCAGTCCTGTCTCTAGGCCAACACATGTTCATCCGTTCAGGAAAAACTGATGAATTAAAATAAATTCAAGGTCTCAGGTCAGCCCAGAGGTATAAGCCAAAGCCGGGTTCCCAATGATCACTGAGGAGGTGCCCTGTAACCACACTCAGCATTGTCAAACACCTACCCCCCAGTGCAAAGATCTTCCTTCAGTTCCCAGGAGTGGCAGCACTCTTGTCTTGAAACTGGAGTCACCTCACCTTCCTTCATAGTTTCTCTATAGAAATTGACCTCTGTGGTGATATCTCTCTCATCAGCACTCACCCTCTACCATCACCACTGCCTTCCTTCAGACAGGTGCATCTTTGTAAGCTTTGTCAAGTGGTCTACTCCTCTTTCCATTTTCAATCCACCACTCCACTCATTAATCCATCCCTCCCTCTGTTGTCAGGGCCAGGACACCTTGGATATGATCATACCAGATTTTTAATAAAGAGTCACTTGTGGAGCTGTAGGTGAGGAGTGTTGGTTGCTCTTGCAGAAAACCAGGGTTCAGCTTCCAGCACTCATGTGGTACTCACTCAGCAGCTCACAACCTCTGTGCCTCCACGTCCAGAGATCTGATCCCCTCTTCTGGCCTCGTGGACACTAGATATGCATGCCGTGCATCCAGATACATGAAGGCAAAACACTCAGACACATATAAAAAAAAAGATGAACAGTAAGTTTTAAAAACAACCACTTGTGATACCCCAGTGACTGGCTGCCAAGATATGAGCTTCCTAGGCCTGAGTTCAAGCCCTGTGTCTGGAAAGCCCCATTTACTCCTTTTCCTACTAGTCTCCCATAGTCTCTCAGTTGTATCCCAGTTCCTACTGTAAATCTCTCTGGCCAGGCCTTCTGAGAGGCCTTTCCATACAACAGTAACACATAGATTCACTGAGGGGGGACAGGGAGGGAGAATTTATGCAGAGACATTGGGAAAATCTGCTAACTAATCTCTGGATTTGGGTGAGCAAGTATGAGAGAGAAAAGATTTCAGGGTTACTGAACTGGGGAAAAGAATGGAAGTGACTGATCCAGTCAACTTTTCAGAAAGGTGAAGGGAAAGCAGTTTTGAGAGCCTAAGGAGGGAACAGACCACAGGTTTACAGTTAGCCAGCCTTTGCCCTTTGGGCCTCCACAGCAGTCAGGTGCTCCCAGCATCGATTTGAGGGACCAGAAGAGAGAAGGCTAGGCTGAGAGTCGAGTAACCATAGCTGAATTCCTGTGTCCAGGACTTTAATGAGTCGGAAGTCCTGGAATAACCCAGAATTCACTACTCACGATGCTGTGATGATGTCACAAATGGAGCCGGCCCCCAGCCCACTCTTGGCTTCCTCAGAGCACAGCAGAGGAACCAGAGGGAAAGTCCAACTCCCCAAGCACAGCCCTACCACCCACCTCACTCAACTGTTTGTCAATCTCACTACCAACAGAAAGGAGTGAGTTGCACCTGGACAGCAACGGTTGTTCTTGTGCATCTTGTGTCCTAAGAGCAACCTGCATAAGCCCCAGCACCAAGTGGGGCTGGGAGGGTTTTGTTTGGAAAAGTTTCTTGTTATTTTCAATAGCAAGAACTAGAGTGAACATTGTCCATTCTAGAGTTCCATTTAAAGATCTCCTTTGCCCACCACCACCACCCCTGAGAGCCATACTGACTTTTAAACTACATCTCATGGAGTTTTACTTTTTATTATTAAATAAAAATCAAAGGCATACCAACTAAAGCCAACTTCAACCATTGTTGGAAACGAAAAATTCTGTCCAAATCCAGGAGAAAGACCAACCTCAGGGCAAAACTCAACAGAAAAGGCATTCCCTTCTGGAAATCATATTTCTTGCTTCTAGCATTCATAAATTCATGAATTAGATCCCCCAACTTGATCTCTCCTGACTTCTTCCTTTGTCCTGACTATTTGACAGAGCTTGATGATCCCTAAGAGGAAGGGAGAGATGGTTCTAGAATGGTTCGTGGGACTAAGAATAGTCTCAGTTGCCTTCCCTGCCTCTGTCTACCAGAGAAGAAAGGAGTTTTCATGACTGAATGGCTTAAGAAACAACTCCCAGATGTGCCCACAGTTCCAAGCCTGTCACTAACCTACCTCCAGAGGGTGGAGAAGTGGCCTCTTGGGGTTTTGCTGAGCCACCAGTGCTTTCAGCAATGCAATCAAAATTACTGACTTCTTGAAATAATGACTTACATGAATTACGTTAAACACATGGGGCTACAAAAAACACCAACACTGAAATTACAGGTCTTGTGGTTGTTGGGACATGTCAGGACCCTAAGAACACCTGCTTAGAGTCTAGAATGGAAACAGGGTGAGAGAAAATCAGAGCGAGTGTACACACGCAAACATAACCATTCCACAGGCAAGGACAGCTTACTTAGATGTTCTAGAGCTTGACACATGAGAACAGGATGGGCCAGCAGGAGGAAGCCCGTGAATTGTCCCTCACTGACACGCTGTCTCTCATTTCTTCTCAGGTCTACATATCCAAGAAAAAATGCCGAGTGATGATAAGTTCAGTGACCCCAAGAATGAGCCTAAGATCTGTGACCCCAGATGTGAACAAAAGTGTGACGCCAAATGCCACCCCAGCTGTCTAAGGAAGTTATTGCAACTCTGCTCTCACAAGTGTCCATGGGAAAAGTGCCCACCACCACCCAACTGTCCCCCATGTCCCCCGTGTCCCCCGTGTCC